GTATGATTCATGGTGGTGAAGAGGCAAATAACTCTTTTTATGACTGGAAGTTGCTTTAATTTGCAGCCACAAGGAAACAAAGCAATGACCGAATAATAGTGGTAGAAAGTAACATTTCATAGTAATGGAGGTGTATACCTTATGTTGTGTTGAAGGTTTTATTTCTCCAGTGATAGTGACATCTCAAAACATATTGCAATTGTTTACAAACAATGGAAAGAGGTCTATATTATGTCTTGCAGTCAGATTTGCAAAGCTCACAGGCTTCTTAAAAGGCATGCAGTCTGTCAGCAGATGGTGATTTTTAAATCTTTGTGCATGCAGCCAGGGTAGAGAGGGCACGCCAACTATCTCTTTTGTGCGCAGCTAATGGCTAGCAAAATATTAAGAGATTTGCAAGTTCACTAGCCTTATGTTTGCAGCCTGGCATTTGGTGTTGTATGTCTTCATACATGCTTGGATTGGATTTATTTTATGTTCTTAAGTAATGCCAGTTTAGAGTTGGACAATTCATTACACAGATGGCTTTTTTGATGAGCGAGGAAAGCAAAAGGCTAAGTAATGTATTTATAGCTATCTGTGCTGTCTGCCCCAAATAAAAATAATAGTAAAAAAAAAAAAATCTCAGGACTTTTACAAGTTTCTGTAGGTGAGGTCAGGGTTTTTTGAAGTGTTTGTTGTGCATGTTTACAGGTTTCCTGCTCCCGATCGGAGAACAGGTAGTAGGAATTCAAAACATTTCTAACTACTCACCAGGAAAAAACTTGCTTTCTGTAGGGAGGACCTAAAAAACGTGTATGAATATAAACTTCTAAATAATATCCACTACAGCAAAATATGTTGCATAATAACTTAATATTTGTGTGTAGTAGCCTAATCAGAAAGGCCATGGGGGGAAATTCCATTTAATCTTGTTAATAGAAGAGTTTATTGCTGCCAAGCATTTAACTTCAGTACTGGAACTTTGGTAACTTTTTTGGAAATATTATCACCTAATAATGTGGAGCAGAAGGAAACAGTGTATTACCTTTAAAACATGGTACTTAAATGTCTGAATAACTTCAAGTATTTAAGGTTTCATCTGATTCTGCAAATGAAAATGACGCTTTGAAATTACTTTTGAAGTGTAAGGAGCAATATGCAAGGTCAGGCCTGTGATGTATTTTTCAGACTGTCTGGGTAGTACTGCATTATAATCAAGTGAAAAATGTGTACTATAGTTTGATTCAATTTGTACATGATTGTAAGAGATTGAAAAGAAAAAATGGAGCTATGCTCTTAAAGGCTGTGGTGCATTTAAGCTATCCTTGTGCAGAGCTGTATAACAATTGACTCACCTGTTGCATGGATGGTACTGAGTGATTCTAAAACATCAGTTTACATGTAGACAAACATACCAAAATACATTAGGAAAAATGTTTCCCATTGTACATGTTGCCCTGTTTTATAAAGATTTTTTTTGTAGAACCTAGAAAATCCTCCATAACCAATGCAGGCTGGTTGTGAAAGCAATGTGTAATCTGAGTATTTGCATTTGCTAAAGAACATCCTGCTTTTATAGGAACCATTGAAATCTCAATGGAGGAAAAACTTCTTCAGCTCTGGGGTTAATCTGCTTATCAGAAGTTAAATCTTACTACATGTAATTTTGCAGTGGTTGACCATCAGCTTAAAAATAGTTTTGTTGACCACACAGTGTAACTTTTTTTTTTTTTTTTAATTAAAGTTTAGCTGTGCATGTAGATACAGAATCATTTGTTAAAGAAATTGTTACTATGGAAAGGACACACTGTTGTATAATTGTTTTGAGTTGTATTTCCTAAATAATAGCTAATGCTGGAAAGAGTGTTTGGCAATCATATTTAGCTTCATTAAGATCTGTAAGCTTTCAGGAAAAAAGTGAAATAGTCTTTTTTTCCTCTTTTTCAGAAAATATTATTAAATGCATAGCAACATTGTTTCAACTGGTACACTGTAATAAACTCTGACCTAATTATCAACTTCTTGATTTTTCTTGTTTTTTGTTGAAAGGACAACGATCTATTGGAGAGGAGAAAAGCAGTATATCTATTCTAGAGCTTTCTAAGCACAGTTCGATGATGCGTTGCAGCAGTCAAGTCCACCAGATGCAAAACAAACTAGAGAAGCATGCAAGTTGAATGCTATAAAAAGACTTCCATCATTAGGAATGCAATACTTTGCTTATATTGTAGTGTTGTTTTTTTTTTTTTTTTTTTTTTTTTTTAACTCATGCATACCTGTGACTCATGCTATGAATTAACAATTAGTTGCTTTACTGTTTTTTGTGTCCCCTCCCCTGCACCCCCCCCCCCTTTTTTTAATGTAAATGCCGGTGTATAGATTTTCAGTGCTCAAACCAAAAGTAGTTAGCTGGTGTTGGTACTAGGTTAGTGCATTTTATGTGAAATCATCTTTGGATATAAATGTGACCTATCTGATATTTGTGTGTTCCATGATCACCAAGTGCACCTCTGAGGTGTGTGTGAGTGGTGATAATGTGTTTTTTCACTTTTTCGCTTTTTCTCTTATACGTATCTATGCAAATATTAGTGCAGTGTGATTCAGAGAACTGTGGTGAGCTGCTCTGGTTGTGGTGCTATAATGACCTTGAATGCTCTTCATCCCCTGTTGATAGTTGGCTTTCCACCTGTGACTACTAGACATGGTACAGAAGAATTCACACTTCAGTACACTAACCGTGTGCCATTGAGCTGGCGTCACACTGAGCACTCGGAGAAGAATTAATTTTTATGTAAATATTTTTTGGGGGTGGGCAGGGAAAAGAAGTTTAGGCATTGTAGAAGCAGTACAGCGGTTGTGTTGTTGCTGTGATGGAGCATATGATTTGGTTGGACGGATTCTGAGCTAGGTATTGTTTTCTGTTCTCTTTACTCCTGGAATAGGTCAGTTACATTAGGTGTTTGTAGAATCACACATTTCTCTAAAATTGCTGAGATTCTTCACAGTTAGATTACTTTCATAAGGGAACATTGCAATATTGAGACATCGTTTTCTGCTTAATTGTGAATAGATACAATTGCTGTTGTCTCACAGATTATGCGCTTACTCATACTGATTTGTGTCCTCTAATTGAAAGAAAAATGTTAGCCACTATTGGTCAAAAACAGGCTCTTAAATATTAAACTCTTTCATTTTTCATGGTGCATTGGCAGAATCATGATCTTTACTGGATCCTTCTTACTTGTTCAGGAAATGAGGATCAAAGGAGGACTGTGCTGATTGCTTGCTTTCACAAATACTGTCTTCAATGTGTGATTAATGGAGAATTTGTAGTTAATTTATTATGATATTGCAAATATTTTCTTATTACAGTTGTTACAGTAAGAATGGCAATATTTAAAGGATCTTTATTTTTTTATCTAGTCTGAGGTATTTTTGACAGCTTAGTCTCTAATGAGAAGTGTAATCGATATCTGGAAGAGGTCATGCAAATGTAAGGTAAAGATCAGAGTGTAACCAAATAACCTCATTCCTATTTGAGAGGTCTTTCTCATAGTAGAATAGAGTTCACCAAGAGAAATATACCCTATTCCTAGGGTCTACTGCCTTGTTAGTTTTTTTTCTAGGAGATAAATATTTCCATAAGATGTCTGCTAGAAGAGTAGCTTGCTGTCCTTCAGAAAAACTGAGTCAGCAGTCTCCCAGATGCATGGGAGAAATGGAAGAACAATGATGGGCAGAGGAAAAAAAAAGAACACACAAAAAACAAACAAACAAACCTGAAGATGTGCAGGTAAAGAGAACAGAGATACTAAGAACCAAAGAGAAAAGGAGAAGATAATTCAAAAACCATTATGGAAATGACGTACGTATTTTGTGTGTAAATAAGGTACATGGGAGAATAAAATTTACTATTCTTTAAGCCCATGTGTCATCACTTTAGACTTGCTTTCTTTTTGTTCCCGGGAGGACATATGCCAGGACCTTTGTAGGAAATCTGTCTGCTAGCTGGCGCAGCACCTTTCAAAGATACCTTATTTTATGGTTTCAGAATGTGTTAATATTAGCCACCTCCATCTGTAACAGGCTGCTGCTTATAATATCTGCTGAACTGCATTGCAGTATTTAATTTTAAGTTACTTTGACAAACTTAAAGAAGGATCAGGCTATTGAAAGTTGTCAGTAGTGCCAAAAATGTTTAATTTTGTGGAGTCTGTGAGTTCATGCTTTTGTTTTACCTTAATTTATATCTTTTGACTTGGGAGGAGGGGGGCGTTCTTGGATGTGAACATGTGTAATGAAGTATCTTGTTTCTGGATTTTAAGCCTGTATTTAGAGAAAGCTGAAATAAATTGCAATTTATTTATTTTTGCAATTTGCAAAATGCATTTGCAATAATAGTGGAAATATGTTATATTAAGTAGTGTTAAAATGGAATACAAAGTTGTTTGGTGCACTAGCTTTAATTTCTTTGGGGTGGAAATCTGGAAGTGTTGAGTACATTGTCATATAAGGATTCGTCCAGGTACCCACAACTTAAAGTGGGCAGCAAGGGAATGGACTGGGTACTCCTCTGGCTTTACCTACTGAAACAAAATTTTCAAGCAATTTCTTGGCCAGCTTGTGGAGAGTGTCTGGGGAGCTTTCTTAGTAGCAGGCAGAGCAGCATTTGCAGAGTTTGAGTGTTGACAAGCAGCCTATTTGTGTTAATTTAATAGTAAGAAGAAAGCCACCCCAGATCTGGAAGAGGCAAAATGGCCACTGCCATGTGGCAGCTACTGGTTCAGCATGGGTCTGCTTCAGTTTGCACTATTTGTAACTCTAAGCTTTCATTGATTTTGATCTGTCTTGAACATTCGCGGATTCAATTAGTTTTTGTAATCACTAGTGGCCAATATTTGATATTAATGGAAGTTGAATTGGAAAAAAAAATGTTTTGTTCTGGTTACAATTTCAGAATACTAATATTTTTTTTCTGTGTATGTGTGTTTTTTTGTTTGTTTGTTTGTTTTTTCCAGCTTTTCATTGTAGCCTCCAGTTTCTTGGAAACATTGCGGCAGGAAATGGAGATTCCCAGAATAGCATTTGGAAGTGTGCTTTCCCAGATCTCTTCTTGTAAGCATGGATGTGTTTTTTTGTTTTGTTTTGTTTTTTATACTGTAGTTTCTGTGGTTATATTCAAATCTTTTGTATGCGACAGTTGTGTCTCTACTAGCACCATAAAGCTTTGAAAAATAACCTTAGGGAAAATGGGGTGGTTGAGACCATATCCTGTAGATGTTTTTTTTGTTAGTCAACCACAGGGGTCAGGTCCTTTAAAAACCTGCTTGTTCTGAACTGACAGTAAATTGATTTCATTTAACACAAACTGGAAGAAAATTATGTTTAAAATAGAATCATAGAATATCCTGAGTTGGAAGGGACCCTTAAGGATCATCAAGTCCAACTCTTGACACCGCACAGGTCTACCCAAAAGTTCAGACCATGTGACTAAGCGCACAGTCCAATCTCTTCTTAAATTCAGTCAGGCTCGGTGCAGTGACCACTTCCCTGGGGAGCCTGTTCCAGTATGCAACCACCCTCTCTGTGAAGAACCCCCTCCTGATGTCAAGCCTAAACTTCCCCTGCCTCAGCTTAACCCCGTTCCCGCGGGTCCTGTCACTGGTGTTAATGGAGAAAAGGTCTCCTGGCTCTCGACACCCCCTTACGAGGAAGTTGTAGACTGCGATGAGGTCTCCCCTCAGCGTCCTCCAGGCTGAACAGGCCCAGTGCCCTCAGCCGTTCTTCATACGTCTTCCCCTCCAGGCCTTTCACCATCTTCGTAGCCCTCCTCTGGACACTCTCCAACAGTTTCATGTCCTTTTTATACTGTGGTGCCCAGAACTGCACACAGTACTCGAGGTGAGGCCGCACCAGCGCAGAGTAGAGCGGGACAATCACCTCCCTTGACCTACTAGCGATTCCGTGCTTGATGCACCCCAGGACACGGTTGGCCCTCCTGGCTGCCAGGGCACACTGCTGGCTCATATTCAACTTGCTGTCTACCACGACCCCCAGATCCCTCTCTTCTAGGCTGCTCTCCAGCGTCTCATCGCCCAGTCTGTACGTGCAGCCAGGGTTTCCCCGTCCCAGGTGCAGGACCCGGCACTTGCTCTTATTGAACTTCATGCGGTTGGTGATCGCCCAGCTCTCCAACCTATCCAGATCCCTCTGCAAGGCCTTTCCACCCTCATTCGAGTCCACAACTCCTCCAAGTTTGGTGTCGTCAGCAAACTTGCTCAAAATACCTTCTATTCCTACATCCAGATCGTTTATAAAAATATTGAAAAGTACCGGCCCTAAAATGGAGCCTTGAGGGACCCCACTGGTGACCGCCCGCCAGCCTGACGCAGCCCCGTTTACCATAACCCTTTGGGCCCTGCCCGTTAGCCAATTGCTCACCCATCGTATGATGTTTGTATTTAGCTGTATGGTGGACATTTTGTCCAGTAGGATCCTATGGGAAACCATGTCAAAAGCCTTGCTGAAGTCCAAAAAAATCACATCAGCTGGTTTCCCTTGGTCCACCATACGGGTGATCTTATCATAAAAGGAAATCAGGTTAGTTAGGCAGGACCTACCCTTCACAAACCCATGCTGGCTGGGACCAATGACTGCTTTGTCCCCCAGGTGCGCCTCAATAAGTTCAAGAGCCATCTTCTCCATGATTTTACCAGGCACTGACGTGAGACTGACAGGCCTGTAATTGCTAGGGTCTTCTTTCTGACCCTTCTTGAAAATCGGCACAACATTTGCCAGCTTCCAGTCTATCGGGACCTCTCCAAATTCCCAGGATCGTTGAAAAATAATTGAGAGAGGTTCCGCGATGACGTCTGCCAGCTCTTTCAGCACCCGGGGATGAATCCCATCCGGACCCATGGACTTGTAGGGATCCAGGTGGAGTAGCAAATCCCGCGCACATTCAGGGTCGGTTGGGAGTTTGTCATCCCCACCGTCCCGGTCCTCCAGCTCAGGGCACCCTGGGTCCCGAAGCCCATCATTGGCATTGAAGACAGACGCAAAGAAGGCGTTAAGTGTCTCTGCTTTGCCTATGTCATTGTCTGTGAGGAGACCTTCCCTATCAAGGAGCGGCCCTATGTATTCTTTAGTTCTCCTTTTTCCATTCACATATCTAAAAAAAACCCTTTTTATTTTCTCTCACAGACACAGCCAGCTTCAACTCTAGGTGTGCTTTGGCCACACGAATTTTCTCCCTACAAACACGAACAGCATCCCTGTATTCTTTCCATGACACCCGGCCCTCCTTCCAGTAGCGAAACACTCTCTGTTTCCGCCTAATCTCCATTAGAATGTTCCTGGTCAGCCACGCCAGCCTCCTGCCCCGCCTGCCTGACTTGCGATATTTAGGAATTGCCTGTTCTTGTGCTTCTAGGAGGCATCGCTTAAAGAATGACCAGCACTGGTGGACATCGAGGCCTTCAAGAGCAGTTTCCCAGGGGACCTTGCTGACTAGTTCCCTGAGCAGCCTGAAGTCCGCTTTCCCCATATCTGAGGATGAGGTTTTGGTGGCACTTTTCCTTCTGTCACCGTAAATTTTGAACTCAACCACTTCATGGTCGCTATGACCGAGGCGGCCACCAATCACCACATCTTCCACCAGACCCTCTCTGTTTTCTAGCAACAGGTCTAGGAGGGCACCTTTCCTAGTTGGCTCCGTTAGCACCTGCACCAAGAAGTTATCATCTAGGTGCTTCATGAACCTCCTGGACTTGTTCGTGTCAGCCGTGTGGCACTCCCACTTAATGTCTGGCAAGTTGAAGTCCCCCATAAGGACAAGGGGAGTTAATCTCGAGGCCTCTCTTAGTTCTGTAAAGAATTTATCGGCGCTATCGTCCTGGCCAGGCGGTCTGTAGTAGACTCCCGCAAAGACATCCCCTTTATTCGTTCGTCCCTTGATCCTTACCCAGAGGCTCTCAACTTTGCCATCACCGACCTGAAGTTCCACACAGTCCAGCCCCTGCTTCACATACATCGCCACCCCACCACCTCGCCTACCCTGCCTGTCCCTCCTGAAGAGCCTGTAACCATCTATCGCAACACCCCAGTCACAGGACTCATCCCACCAGGTTTCACTTATGCCGATGATGTTGTAGTTGCGGGACTGGGCCAGGACTTCTAGCTCATCCATTTTATTCCTCATACTGCATGCATTCATGTAGAAGCACTTCAGGTGCGTCTCCTTACACTCAGCACCTTGTGGATCTGACTGAAGGACCTCACTGGCACACAGCCCCTCTGATTCTAGCGTACCATCCCTTAGGTCTTCACCGGTGTGCCTGGTTTTAGCCCCTTCCCCCTTTGACTCTAGTTTAAAGCCCTATCTATCAGCCCTGCCAACTCTTGACCAAAGATCCTTACCCCTCTCCGAGAGAGGTGCATTCCATCCGGTGCCATCAGGCCCGGTGTAGCATAGACCTTCCCGTGATCAAAGAACCCAAAGTTCTGCCAGTCACACCAGTCTCGAAGCCACGAGTTTATGTGAACAGCACGCCTTTCAGCTTCGTTCCCCCCTATCAGAAGGACAGAGGCAAACACAACCTGCGCCCCTGATCCTCTAAGTAGTCGCCCCAAATCCCTGAAGTCTCTTGATCGCCTTCGGACTTCTCGTTGCTACTTCATCGCTACCAGCCTGAAAGACCAGTAGCGTGTAGTAGTCAGTGGGCCGTACCAGGTGCTTGACTTTCTTGGCAAAGTCTCTCACCCGAGCCCCAGGGAGGCAACAGACTTCTCTGCGGGTTGGGTCCGGTCGGCATATCGGTCCCTCTGTCCCTTTCAGAAGGGAGCCCCCCATAACAATAGCCCTTCTTTCTTTTTTGAAGGATGATGTGGCAATGCGATGTGTAGGTCGCCTTGTCTTAGGTGCCCCCTCCAACTGGGACGGGTTTTTATCTACTTTGTCATTCAGATTGTCTTGTTCTAGTCCTTCATGATGAGCTTCAATCATAAACTTTATTTCATAGTTGTTTTCAATTGGTTATAAGCTGGTCACTTCCAAGAACAAAACTTTTTGTTTATTCTCAATGCTTCTTTGCAGACCTGTCAGTTATTTGTGGATGAAATGGAATCTATGAGAAGTGACTTAATCTTTGTGTCTTCTGATTCCTTTGCTGATATCCAACCTTATGAAAATATCTTTCCAGTGGCTGATGATGTATGTGTCATGAAATATTACATAAACCATTTTATACAGACACGTGACAATTATTATTGGTGTATTTGGCGAAATCTTTTGTAATGGGCTAGTAGCAAAGGCATATTCATTGAATATGGTACTCATTCTGATTCTGTTTTTGGAGCCTACTTGTCAGCACTGGCTGTAGGAAGATCTTACAGTTATAGAAACAGATAATTACAATTTTTACAGTTTCACTCAGTTCTTAAAACTTTAGGTAGCTCAAATCTAACACTAGTTTTGTAAATTGCCTATGAAGTTTGGCCTTCAGAATGGTATTATTTTTTGCAGCTGACTTCTGAAGTTGACTTCTTTCTTCTTGACTTCTCTTAAGCAATGTCAAGCTCATGATTCACTAAAAGACATCAGAGAAGAACAACTCAACAAGCTGAATGTCCCTAGTGCGTTTTTCTAGCATGAGTTTTAACCTACTGTCTTAACATCACTTTCTCTTGAAGGACCTGCCTAACTTACAGCGATGAGAAAATTGTTGCCTATTGTTGTATGGTCTTGTTTACCTGCCTTAATTCAGAGAAAGTGAGAGAACTACTGGATCCTGAGAACTTGACTGTGGCTCTTCATGTCCTGAAAGTCTACAAAGAGCAGTTGGAGTCTGAGTGGTCGTATGTATCTTTAGACTTTTTTTTCCTTCTTAAATAAGGGTTCTCCTAGCATCAGTCTCCATATTAGAATATCTACATTTGTGACTCTCTAAGTAGTAAATGAAGATTTATTTAGAAGCTATTAATTTGGCGATAACTTTCAGAATACTTTTACTGACTTTCTGTTAAAATAAGATTATGATTTGTTGACGATGTAGACAAATTCTAAAATCAGTGTTTTTGAATTGTCTTGTTAATGAAATAGTGTTCCAGAATGCAAGTTAGTTATACCTATATGATGATCTGTGGAGATTTTTGAAAGAAGGCTAAGTCAGAATATAGTGTTACAGACTCTGGCTATTCAAAAGACATGTGTGACTAATGGTTTGTGAGTACTATGGAAAAGGTGTGGGTTTTTTTTGTTTTTTTTTTTAACAAATCTGTTGTCTAGTGCAACATGTAATCATTTCTATATTGAAACAGAAAGACATTTTGTTTGCAAATCTGTTACACTTGATTTTTCTTAATTTAAGAGTATATAATCAGTGGGTTTATTCCAATGTTCTATTGAGCTTTTTATTTTTTATTTTTTTTCTAATGGTCACTTTTGTAAATATTAATGTCAGTTATGCATTTTAGAAATGTTCTGTTTGTCAGCAAGGATGCACATAATAACTCAGTTTAATTTTTATGGGACATTCCAAGTGAGGGGGGAAAAGGATAGTGAAAACAAAACTGTATTTTTGTATCTTTCTTTTGAAGGTCAGCAATTGAGCTGTCCATTTCTCTGATCTTTCTAGTCTGAAGTGCATTCTATTAACTTACGAAGTCAGTGTCTTAACTCTGCACTGCATGTTTGCTGTGGGTGGGAAATGGTCTTTCTTCAGAGAAAGTCTTTCTTCTTCAGTCTCGAGATTAAAAAGGGGCAAACTTTCATGCAAGACCATGATGAAGGGGAAGAGATAAGTAGAGTATTTCTGTCATAACACAGTTAAGAAATGTTTGCCTTTGAATTCCTTTCAGAGTATTGATTTTTCTCATAAAATAAATATACAGAAAAAAAGGAATATCTACCATGCATTAAGAAAATAATATGTTCATTTTTCTTTCATGGTACTTTAATGTTGGCTGGTATAGTTTCAAACCTAATTATCATTTTTTCCCATGTGAAAGAAAGTCATGACTTTGTAGTATATGTTTCTTAGCATTTTATTTCAGTAATGCAGGCACTTCTCAGAGTCAGCACAGGTAAAATGTAAACAAAACAAAGTATATTTCAACAGTTCAGTATCAAATATTTAATAGGTTGCTTTCTGATATGGAAAAGTATGTGTGAGATACAGTCAGGTAAAAATGCATAAAGAGGTTTCTGTCCATTTTCTTATGAAGGTTAAGCTAAGGTCTCTGGCTGGACCGTAGAAAAAATATTTTGTCAGCAGTTCATTGAAAATTTTGGAGCTGTACTTCAGTTCTCACTGCAGTACATACCACTAGGATTGCTTAAACGAATTTACATAGCTGCGGTATTTGCAACAAAGCCAGTATTTTGTTGTAAAGGTTTGGGTCCCTTGTGCCATGGCTACCAGAGTGCACAGCAACCATTTTGAAGTGGCTATTTTGGCATTTTATGGCTGAGCTGAAATACAAACTGTTCTTCTTCCAGGAGGTTATTCTCACTGCCAGATTCATATATGACTGTGTTTAGGATATTCTTACCTGTAAAGTTAAAAATATTACTTAATTCCTGTCTTCTTGTGTCTCAGTTTGAGCATCCGGATTCGTATTACATTGCATAAAAAGTGTATGCATGTTTATTCATCTTGGCTGTGCTTTCTTGCTGTCAAATGCTGCTTTTTAGTATTGGTAATCTTTCTTTGAATACTGTGTGAGTTTTGGTTATAGGCAAACCTATTATTCATGATTTTCTTCTGTTTGTTTTATCATGTACTGAAACTTATGAATTAATTTTTCTCTAAAGTTAGTTTCCAATTAATTTCCACAAATTCCATTAATTGAATTCCAAACTTGTGATGCTCACGTTATTTTTTGAGTTGCTGCTGTGAGTCATTAAGACAAAAAGGGTGTCCAAGACAAACGCTTGTATTTACAACTATTGGCCTAAGTGTAGTTTCTCTCATGGTGTCCTTACTACTTCATTCCAGTAATAAGCGTTGGATTTTCTACTCTTGATGTATAACAGGGGAAGCACATCTTTAAAATCTTTTTTTTTTCAGTGAATTGGCAATTCCTTCTCTGTTTGTGATACCACATTTATGTTTACAAGTCCAGTTTTCCATGTCCAAGCTGGAAAAGTTCTTAGGTGAGATTTCAGGAGGAACCTCTTTCAAAGTGTGATGCCTCTTTCAAAGTGTGATGCCTTTGACTTCTGTTAAGTAGTTCTCCCTCCAGTCTTGAAACAGTTCTGTAGGGAAAGGCTTTGTCAGAGAAAATCTGAGATTATTCTAAGCAGTTTTTCAGAGCTTCCTTTTCTAGAAGCAGCTGTTGGTAGCAGACCTTCTGTAATTCCTGTGCTGTCTGCAATAACACACTTTTCCAGTTAAAGAGCAAAGGAAGCATCTCTGAAGGCAGGACGTAGTTTTCTGTTTTCCCCTGTCACTTTTGTCTACTTCTTGAATCAAGAGCTATTCAGTAGAAAACAAGGAGTTCCTGTTGGTAAAGAAGAAACTTCTGGAGTGTTGCATCTTGGTGGCTGTACTTCCTTAAGGGGGTGCCTTATGAGAGAGAAGGCCTCAGGTTGGCAATTTATGAATCTATTCAGTAGGGGGGAAGCAAGACACCCATTTTCTAAGCATTTCTTGAAACAAAAAAGATGTTTTATGATTGGCATATTGAGATTTTTGATGTGTTTTGAGAAGATGTTTGTAAGTTGACAGCATAACAAATTGCCTCAGAACTTAGATGCAGACTGGATGCAGACTGTGATGCATACCTATGTGTGTCTTTGAGTGATATATACTTTTTATTGTTTTCTGTAGCATGCTTTGAGCTAAGAAACAGCTATATTTAAAACCTAAGTTGGTTCTATAAGGAATGCCCTGGTCAAATTTTGTATTCAGCCTTTGAGTGATCATACCTCTTTATCCATACTAGATGGTCTGAAGGCCCATTTCATTAAGCTTGTGGTTACTTGTAAGCTTCAGAAATGCTTCTATCTCTGAAATCCGTGAAGTTGCAGAATGTAATTCCCACATTTCTTAAATATTTCTTGATTTAAGAACTGCTACCCCTTCCTCTTTCTCTTTTGGAAGCTTGATCTCTGAACAGCTCCAAGTTGTTTTTTTTTTTTGTTTTTTTTTTTATCATTGCTGCCTTTGCCATTTTTAAAGTGCCACTCAGCATCTAATATTAAAATAGATTTAATTAACATATATTAGGCAATGTATTTTTAAACTGCTTCTAAACTGCTTCTAGTCAACACAGCTCCTTAACTTGTTTCAGGCTAGCAATCCTGTAATCTTGAATACCAGGCACTCTTCTGAACTTGCTCTTGGGAGTTAGACCAGCAGCAATGATCTGAGGAGGCAGATCATGCATTTTTAACTGAGGTTCTTCAAAACGTAATCTGACTGGATGTATACCACTTTGTTTTGTAGCCTTTGGCTAAAATATTAGAGCAAGAAGAAATTAGAAGTTTTCAGGACTGAAAGCTGTTTAAACTTATCTGTCTTGTCCTGAATGTTTGGATCTCTATTTGGGCTTGTAAAGAGTGCCCGAATGTTTCAAGGCAAATAATGTTAAAGAATATACTTCAAAGTATATATCTTTGCAAAGACACTGGCTCTGCAGAAACAAGTTAGTAAGTATCCTTTCTTTGGTTTGATTTATGACATACACTAATTAAATGATCCTGTCTGTTCGAGTGTTCTTTGCTGTGCAGTTCTTTTCTAGAAAATGCGTGGACCTTTTTAATGTGCATTTGCTATTTGGGCTGTTAGCTTAGGAGCAAATAATTGCTGACATTGGTGGGAAAACTTCCATGCTGCTACAGCTTGGGTGTACGAGTGATTGTTGCTATCCTTAATCCTGAGACATTGTCCTTTAATGCAGGCTCCTTGTTTGAGGGGTTGGTTATGTTCTTTGGCTTCCAGCTTGCTCTGCTCGTGGTCACAGTTGTGGGATTTGCATTCCATCTTGTAAGTGGAGAGCTTTTAAACCTCTAAATTTCTTCTTTTCTTTTTTTTTTCTTTTTTTTTCCCACCTTCATGTGATTCTTTTTTCTTTTAGTGGTAGTTACCTTTTATCTGTTCAGTAACAACAGATCTGTCCATTAAACAACATCTGTCTTTCTGCATTATGTATCTTTTGGCTTTACTTTCTCCACCCTATATTCCAGTCAAATGAATGAGTGTGGTTTTCAAGCCCCTGTGAGATGATAATTTATTTTCTGTGTGTCTTCATCTTTCCAATATACCTGCATAATAGTATTTTCATGCATAGTATTCTTCTCTTAAAGTGTTGACACATTAAGTTGAACGTATCTTGAACATGTAAGCAGCTATACTTACTCCATAAGCTAATACTCTTTTTGCAGTGCTGCTTTCTTTTAACGGCTGTTGCCTACCTAAGGATGCTGTCTGGGAATTGGACAGATCCTTCCCTTAGGAAACAAAGCTGGAACACAACTTAAGTAACTGAAATGTTTCCTACTCAATCTATTCCCTTGTGATTACTACCAAAGTCTGAAAAGCCCTCTATAACTCTTTCTGGTGCAGTTCCAAGGGAAGAAGAAAGCACAAGTGGTATCAGGTGTTATATATGCAGTGTGATGAAAGGACTGCCAAGTGCTGCTATTTTTTCTGTATTTTTTTTTTTGTTTTAAAAGTGCAGAGATCTGTGCCTTAGACTCTGGAAAATTGTGCCATGTTTAAAAAGGCATTCCTCTGTGTTTCCCCAAACATCCGCATCCACTCCCTTTTGGGTTGGTATTAATCAACTGCAGCAAAGTGTGTCGCACAGTTTAGAAGCTACTGTATTTAGAAGAGAAGCCAGCACAGAATGCCACATGAAATCTATTTTAGAATATTGAACATGCAAACATATGTGTTTTGTAAAATAATTAAGAAAAAAGTAGTACAAAATTACATTATAATTTATCCTAACCGAGACCAATGTGTATTCTAAAAGCTGTTTATTTTAGAAATAGTTCGGTGGCTCCATTAGAGATGAGTGTATGGCTTGTGTCATCAGTTTATCCAAGTGTGTGCACAGGGCAGTGTAGGTCCTATGAAAAGAAAAAACAGGTTGTATTTTTGATTCCTGAAGAGCAAGGAACAAAAATCCTTCATTTTATAAAGAAGCATAATATGCCTTTTGGCTTCCAGAAAAATGATATTAAGAGTGTGGTCAGCTGTTTGGCATTGGAAGTAAGATTTTCTGAACATCTACTTTCTCTTTTTGAAACCACAGCTCGATGATGACTGTAAAGATTAGGATGCGGGGCTCCCCCTCCCCATTTTTTGCCTTTGGTTATTTTGTTCTGGCTTATGGAAAGCAGTGTGGACAGAAACTAGTGCTCCTGTGGCAAGGAGTCTTGCCCATGGGCATGTATTTAAAGGCAAAGATGGAACTCCTCAGTAGAGTGCTTGTTGCTTAATTGATATGCATGTGGTACAGAGACCAGAATATGTTACCTTTTTTTCATTTTGAGCTGGCAGCTCTGTCTCTTCTCTCTGACAGTCCAGGGTGTCCCCTTCCCCCTTCTACTCTACAGAAAGTAGTTCTTATTTTTAATTCCAGGGAAGTTAGAGTGATGTTGCAGGTTCCAAGTTCAACTGTGGTTTTAAATAGTACCGACAATTGGAAAAGTTTCTTTAATTGTGGAGATCTGAGTAGCTTCTTTCTATTTGCAGTAGCAGGGTATTGGCACAGATTTCCCCAGTCCTTTAAAGCTCAGCCTCACATGTTTATTTGTCTTGTCACCTCTTTCTTCTTGTATATTTTATGGAGACAGAGGAGTGGGAAGTAATTCTTTTGGTAATAATCTTCCATTTTCGTCTTGGTAACTCTTCAGAAAAAAGAATATTCCAACTTTGCATAGAAGTAAAAATAAATCTCTTCAGTGCCTTTCAGATGTAGCTATCAAGTTGAAAAGGAGTGTATTCTGAATCAGAGAAAAAGTACAGGTCATCTGAACTCAGTCTTCTAGATGTGAGAGTTGACTTGGTGGACCTTTGTGGCCTACAAGGAGGATGTATTCATTATGGGTAATGACTTTTAAAGAAGGAAGAGAATTTCCTGTTGTGCTCTCTTCAACACAGGAGAAGAACATTGTGATTATACTTGGTGTTGAGCTCTAAATATGGAAATATTTTTTCTTACTCTTTTTTTTGAGCAAGAAGTGCTTTAATGCTGGTGTTTGAGTAGAGTGAATTATCTTGTTTCAAGAGATCTTTAACAGTACGTGTACTCTATTTGTTATTAAATAGTTTTTTTAAAATGGTTTTGATAGAGTGCTTATGTTCTTGTGCAAGGCCAGAAAATAATTCTGCTTCACAAATGTGTTGTGGTTACAAGCAGTTCTGTATGAGGCACATTGTTTTTTGTTGTAGTGTGGCATTTGTTTGTTTTTTAAAAATGTGAAAAGGCTTGTGATACAGCTTTGAAAGGCTGTCTGATTAAATTTTCTTCTTTTATTTTCTTTAAAATTTGGGTGATTTGTCATGCTTGTTTGTTCAAGTAAAAATGCTATTTTGTTCTTAAGTATTTTGGACGTTGTGGCTTTATTGTGGGATGGTGAAATACGCTTTTTTTTTTTTTTTAGAGATCAGAAGAGAAGTTTGCTGATCAAACAGGATCGCAATAACTTTCTTCTTTCTGCTAAAACATTTATACTTTTCCCCTCATTTTCTGAGACCAAGGACACCGTTCTCTAAACTTGCTAATGGGATCAAGTCAACTTAATGTGGAGAATGACATTTTATGATAAAGCTGATTGCTTACACTTGCCTTTGATTGGAGCAAGTTTAGTGGCTATTTGGAATATACTGAGTGCAAATGTAGGTTATACCATATCATTTTAGCTGCTGCTCAAGTTCCGTTTGGTACAATGCAGCCCTTGTACTATTGCTAAGTCTTTGAACTGAACATCTCTTCTATTTATCTACTATGTAAGCACTTGATTTTTTTAGGATTTTAGCCAAACAATTTTTAAAAAGTCAAGAAAATTGGCATATTTAACACTATTCATTTGTTACTGTGTTACACTTGCATAACAACTTTAATTTTCACCATTTCCTTCACTCAATTACAATGGTCCTCAGTTTATCCTGGTTATCCCAGTGGTCTGCCGTTGGCCCCCAAAGAGAATTTAAGTCTACTACCAAAGCCTTTTAAGTGCATCTGAAATGCCATATACAGTCAGTGATCCAAAACCAAATGCCTTTTTTATTTCAAACTTCTGGATGGTCTTACTTTCTCTCTTCTTCTTCTCCTTTACCCCAAATGAAAAACAGGAGAGCTGAGGACTAAAGATACCAACTTTAATTTCTTGCATCCTTGCTTAACTACCACAAGAATTTCTGGACATGATAGCTAGAGTTAAGTGCTTTAGTCCACTACTAATTTTTCTGTTGACTTCTCTTGTTGATGATCCTGTAAAATTTGTTAGTGCTATATTCTTTATGATGTAGTAATGTAGGAAGTGGATAAGGTAAAAGAGAAAATCAAATGCAGGAGGAGGAATTTTTGAGGTTTTACATATTTTCTTGAGATTAAAAGGATACGAAGCACATACGGAAGTATATGCATCTTTATAAGCAGAAACTTGTTTCTGAAATACTGCAAGCTTCTCAGGCAGTAAAGGTGTAGTCCATAGCATGTGAAAGATGCAGATGAATAAATGCAAGAGTGTAGACCAAATAATGACTAAAATACAGATCTGTCACTTCACAGTAGTAATCATTAATGTGCACTTAGTAGCATTATAGATTTTTGTGGTAATTATTGATTATTTTTAACTACAAAACAAGTAGTCAAGATTCCCCTTGTAATATCAAGGTAATATCAATCACTAAGTAATATCAAATTATCAAAGTAATTATCCAAGTTATATCAATCACAAAATAAGGTATAAACTTACATTTGCAACTGTAAAATTGAAAAATCAGGGCTCATATTGTTCCTTAAATGCAATTTTACTATGCTTCATTGTCAGCTGATAGTTGTATGTTATGAAGGTAAATATTACTGTGTAATGCACAGCTAAAGTTATTGTGTTTTTCTCTTTCCTTTTATGGCTCCAGATAGAAGCCTGTGCTTCCTTTCTAATTCTTAAGAAATGCTATTAGTTATCATCCTGAAGGTTTAACTGTAGATAGCTGTTATGCCGTGAATAACAGTTCAGGAATGGTGGAAGTATTTCCCTTGACTGCCATGCTGATGGTTTGATGGAATTGTGGTGCTATGTCTGTCTGCTTCTCAGTGTTAGAATATATTTGTGCCAGTGACTGTGGGGAAGTCTACATGTATATGTTCAGATTTGTGTTAGGAAACTCTTGGATCAATGCTATGCTGCTCAGAATGCCAATTTTAAGTTGATGATTCCCTATGACTATATTATTTTTTCTTTAAACGTGCATACAAATATCAGTAAATAAGGACAACATAAAATATCCCCTCCTCCAAAAAAAAAAAAAAAAAGAGCCTAGTTTACAATAACTGAACTAGATGCTAGCTAAGTTCACAGTTAGCATTAGAAATATTATAGCTATCTTTGGACTTCTTGTTCTCCTGTTTGCCCAGTTATAATTGAATATTTGTCCTAAAAATTCTTCGTTAAAGCTATAAGGTTTCTATGTCATCTTCCTCTTAGCTATGTAGTATGTTACTGATACTCAATAGGCTATTTGGAAAGTGGAATGTTGGGAGCACATGGAGGGAGTATTGAAAATGCTTGGTTTTCATCATGCTTTGGCTATTCTTTAACAGTAGCTTCACGAGCTCAGAGGACGTTCTAAGATTTGTTCATTAATGATTTTGTATGTAATAGATATACACAGTGATTCGAAAATTCATAGTTGGGTATATGTGTGCTTTTGCAGTATACATTACACTCTCAGTACTGCTAGGAATATAATTTGAGTATTTTTTTTTAATGGTGCATGGCTGAGTTTAAATTAAATGACTGTCATCTACTCTTGGCTGTTGTGAATGATACTTGGGAAAGTGATCCGTGTAAATACTGGCATTAACACAAGGGTAGACCATACCTCCTCCCCTTACAGAGCAAGGGGTTGGATTTGGATATTGGCTTATGTTCCTATTAAAAAAAGGGGCTATTTTTGGTAAATTAAGAACAGTATTTTTCTGCCTTGCATCTGACAACACAGTTTCTATTTGCTTTGATGCTTTGCTAGATTTATTTTTATTTTATTTTAAAAGAGAATTTATTTGGACACTTTTCATGCTTGGTGGACTTAAAACAGTGTTGTAACAGCTTAATAGTTGTAACAGTTTTCAAGCTTGAACTTTGGATTTTTGCTGAGGTATGTAAAAATTGGACTAGTGATTTATTATTGGAATTGTGGCGTTCCTTTTCTATAACCGGCAAAATAATTTAACTAGCTTTCCTTCAAGTATTTGAGTAAAAGTATGCTGAATTGTTTGGAAATGGCCTTTTTTTTTTTTTTCCTCCTTAGATTCCTGATTGTTACAGACCGTTTGCTGAAATGTCCAGAGCTGGTAAAAGTCCTCTATGCCAAACTGAGCAATCAAGAAAGGTAACCCCAAAAACCAATGTGGCTTTTAGTATTTAGCATTCCATATAGAGTATCCTGTTCACATGACTGAAAAACTTTGTGGTTTCATAGTTGGCACAAAATCTCTAAATACATGTTTCTTTGTCAGTAATGGTTTTAAATTGGTTGGTTAACATTACAGCTTAGCCACAACTGGCAGTGATTTATGTAGGGTTGCAGAATCCAGGTCGGCGCCATTACTTGGTAAAGAAATACTTCAAAAAAAAAAAAAAAAAAAAAAGACAAGATTTCGTGCCTGTGCCTTGATTTCATAAGAGCACCACACCCTGCAGTGTTTTACAGCTGTATATGAAGTGTCCTCTGCTGTTCATGCCCTTGTGCCCTTCTTGCAATTACAAGAAATTGAAAGAAAGCTTTTACTAAACTTGGAATTATAACTAATACTGGTTAGCAGAACCTTTAAAAAAAAAATAAAAAAGTACAGATGCCCATGATTACTCAATCTTTTAATATTTCCATTACTGAAAATATTATTAAAATATTATCACATCTTGTAATCATACGTTTATGTATTCAAAATGGCTACTTCATTCCCCATTAGCCCAGGGAAACTGCAAGTTTTTCCCATAGTTTTTGCAGATGAAACACAAAGCAGTAAACAAAACTGTCCCTATCTTGTTTATTTCTGTGGTTTTGGTGTGATTAAAGCCACAGTGTGATCACAAATGATAGTTCAGAAATCAAAAGAAAAAGTGTATGATTGAGACCTCTAGACAAAATATTATTAATGTATAGGTAAAGGATGGGAATGAAAAGGAGGGACATACTGTCTTTCTCCCTTTATTCAGGTTGGCCAAATGAGAACTAATATGAGGTGTGTGCTTACCATGCCTGGAGGTAGGGGTTCCTTAACCGAATATTTAATGGAAAATTCTGTTTTAAGTGAATGAGCTAGATTTAATTCTTATGTGGGTGTTATGAACGGTATTTTGTTTGTTTTTGTAATCCCATTGAGGACAGCCAGGACTGGATTAGGTTGTTTATTTGCTTTTACAGCAGTAGACCTAATAAGTTCTAGAAAGGTCTCAGCTGGGTTCATTGCATGCACTGTGCTGCAGATGGTGATCAGCTACATTGACAGAAAGTATATTTGTGTAGACGTATGTATGTTCACATGTGGGATGGCTTTTTGCAGCATTTTCACTGAATTTATTGCCAGTCCCAAGAGTTCTGCAAATCAAACAAACTCCATTATGTTTTTCAAAAAGAAAACTGCAGTTTCAAAAAGAACTCATTTACAAAAAGAACTGCAGTTCAGTTTGTTGTGAATTTGATGCTTCTTAATTTAGGGACAAATGTATGGAAGTTTTACAGAAATAGTGCTTTAACATCTCAGCTAAAAGAAAAGCCTATAATGGTATCTTTCTATGTAATTTTGTAGCATATTTAAGAGTATGTAGCATGTTTAAGAATGTATTCTCTTGAGATATATGAGGAGACAAATCCAATTCAGATAAAAACATTCTGACTGTCATTAACTAAAGAAAAAAATGACTGTATAAACTAAAGTATGGGGAATTCATTGTTTCAAAACGAGGCAAGGAGCCTTCACCGCAAGAGTGCCACGTTAGTGTCCAATAAGGCTGACTGAGACATATTAAATGAAGAAAGGACAGATGCGGTATTGGGGTGTCTGGGAAAGGCAGCTTGAACTCATGAATAAGTGGTAATTCTCAGTTAGTGTTTTATATCATGCACATTAAATATGTTTAATTTAAATATATTTACTGGAAAGAACTGCGCTGAGAGACTTCGCTAATACATACGTTAGTAGTGACTCTTTAAGTTGGCAGTTGCCTTAGATAACCAAAATATATGCAGTTGCATAACTGCAGTATTTGCACTACTCACACTATTCAAATAATTTCCTGTAATTGAAATCTAGTACACTTGTGATATTGTAGCCATGGTGTGTGCCATGAAGTAGCTCTTCATTTTGTAGAAGTGGATCTGGAATCTGAATTTCCAATTAAACAACAAATTCCTGACTTCTGGGCTATTCTGATTTATTTCCAAACAAATACAAGCAATTCGGTGTTGTATGTCTGAGTTTGCACGTGTCCTAGAATAAATACTGTGAAAATGTGATTAGCTCTTTTAATAGTATTCTCATTCTGAAAAATGTATGATGATGTGATGGTGCCTGCTGTTTCTGCAAGTGATTATTGTGGAAACATGGCTATGGTATTAAGCCAATAGTATCATGTAATGATACTTGAATTCTTTGCCAGGTTTGAGATTCCCCTGCATGTGTGCAAGTATTTGACAGAAGTATTTAGAAAAAGCCTATACTGCTTTAATCCAAGTTAGCCTTGAGTGTGGTCAACATAAGTTAATACCTTGATAGTCTGAATTACATAGGAAAATCTTCAAAATGCACAAGTCTGTGTACAACCCTCTTTAGAAGGGTACTTGCTTTAATTAATAGCAAAAATACAGAACAAAATTTTCAGGTGTTTTTAGGATGCATGAGTATTGGCATCATTAGTTTTGATTTTGTGTTTTTTCCATGTGAAGTATCCTCAGTGGATGATGTAGCCACTGATCGAATTGCTAGCAATGAAATGGGTACTCAAGTAGTATAACTGGCACCACTTCATGCTACAGGGCTGCTTATGTCTATCTTAGGGTGTTTTTTTGATCTTGGTAACATTTACAAGTCCAAAATAGCTGAAGGTAAATTCTGGGTTTCAGCACATATAAACAGGCGTTCCCCCTCCTGTTTATATATGCTCCCTTCAAGTACTGGAAGGTCACAATGAGATTTCGCCGGAGCCTTCTCTTCAAGATAAACAAGCCCAGTTTCCTCAACCTTTCTGCATAGGAGAGGTCCTCCAGCTGTCTAATCATCTTATCATCCCATTCCAAGAGCTTTATATCCTTCTTGTGCTGGGGGCCCCAGGCTTGCATGCGGTATTCCAGGTGGGGTCTCACAAGAGCAGAGTAGAGGGGGATAATCCTCTCCCTGCTGGCCACCCCTTTTTTATGCAGCCCAGGACATAGCTGGCCTTCTGGGCTGCAGGCGCGCACTGCTGGGTTATGTCCAGCTTCTCATCAAGTAGGCCCCCCGAGTACTTTCCTGCAGGGCCGCTCTCAAATTCTTCTTCTCCCAGTCTATATAAATACCTGGGATTGCCCCAGCCCAAGTGGAACACCTTGCACTTGGCCTTGTTGAAACTCATCAGGTTCTCATGGGCCTACTTCTCCAGGCTGTCCAGGTCTCTCTGGATGGCATCCCTTCCCTCTGTTGTATTGACTGCACTGCTCAGCTTGGTGTCATCTGCAAACTTGCTGAGGGTGCACTCAATTCTGTCATCTATGTCATTGATAAAGATGTTGAAGAGCACCGGTCCCAAGACCGACCCCTAAGGGACACCACTTGTGACCAGCCTCCACCCAGACATAGAACCGTTGACCACAGCCCTTTGGCTGCGACCAGCCAACCAATTCTTTATCCACCTAACAGTCCATCCTTCAAATCTATATCTTTCCAAATTAGAGAGAAGAATGTGGTGAGGGACCATGTCAAAAGCTTTGCTCAACTCCAGGCAGATGATATATCCATTGCCCTTCCTTTGTCCACTGATGCTGTCACTCCATTATAGAAGTGACTGGTTATGCGTCAGATTTGTTAGGCAAGATCTGCCTTTGGCAAAGCCGTGCTGGCTGTCTTGGATCAACTCTTTATCTCGTGCATGCCTTAACATGTCTTCCAGGAGGATCTGCTACATGATCTTCCCAGGCACAGAGGTGAGGCTCACTGGTCTGTAGTCCCATGGGTCTTCCTTTCTCCCTTTCTTAAAAATAGGAGTAATGTTTCCCTTTTTCCAGTCACCGGGGACTTTACCTGACAGACGTGTTTTTTCAAATATGATGGAGAGCAGCTTGGTTACTACATCAGCCATCTCTCTCGGCACCCTGGGATGTATACCATCTGTCCCCATGGGGGTTGGACCTGATGATCTTTCGAGGTCCCTTCCAACGCCTTCAGTTCTGTGATTCTGTGTGACTTCACATCCAATTTCCTTAGGTGGTCCTGGACTTGTTCCACTGTCACAGTGAGACAGAATCTGCTCCTCTCACCCTCTCCTCGAGGTTTAGGGTCCTGACAGACGTAGGAAACTTGATGACCAGTGAAGACTGAGGCAAAGCACTTATTGAGTACCGCAGCTTTTTCCATGTCTGAGAAAGCCACTTCTCCCATCTTGTTTATCAGCAGGGGAACACTCTCCTTGGCCTGCCTCTTCCTGCCTATGTATCCGTAGAACCCCTTCTTGTTATTCTTCACATTCCTTGCCAAGTTCAGCTCCATCTGTGCCTTGGCTTCCCTAATCCCCTCTCTACACAGTTGGAGTACATATCCAGAAAAGCTGGAGTATTTTGAGACAGGGCCTAACTTGTCTTACAGAACCATTGTTATTAGTGAAGTGCTTCAGCTTAGAGGAGTCCCAGTCTCAGAGAAGGAATGTCCAAAGTGTCTGGCATTTAAGACAGTATAAACTGTTTGCACTTGCTGCAAAAATTGTTCAGGGATAATAAAATTGATGGAATTTTACAATACTGTTTTTAGATAATATTAGCAGAGCTTCACTTTGATTTGTGATAATGGACTTCCACATTTAAGTTGTACATTAAGGCTGTGGTTTATTTGCAGAACTTGAGAGGCAGTTGTGTGTTTATTGATGGTTGCAAATATTTTATAATAATTGTTCTAAGTTTTTGCCAGTTTGGTCAGATTAAGGACAAAGTGGATTAAATTTGGATATGGGGGGGGGGGGGGGGGGAGAAAAAAAAGCAGGAGATTGATAAGGATCTTCCAAAATGGTGCCTAAAGAAAAGGAAGATGATACTGGCATTATCATTTCCAAATAGAAATATAATAATATCATACAATTTTATTTTCAGATAAATTGTTACCAAAATTCATGGTGAGACATGCTATTACTGATAATAACAGTTGTCATATCTGTTGTGGCAGTTAGTTTGTTCATGTTTGCGTTTAGTTATCACCTGAGTGGATGAACAGTTGTGAGATTGTATACAAGAAAAGATTGAATTGCATTATTAGGGATAACTAACTTGGAAAGAACCCAGGGAGTCTTGGAAGAAAACTGGGAGGGATAATAGAAGAAAGGAATGTAAGGGAACTTGCACCAGAACAAAAAACATTGTTCTCAGGAAATTGTTGGCTGAATGGAAAGCCTTGCTTGAAATTCAGAGGAAAGATGGGCACATCCTGAATGACTGTGCCTGGAAGACAACTTAGGAAAACAGTCTTGACATATAAACACCTGAAGAGAACAGGAAAACCACCACCTGCATGTAATTTCTTCTAAATGGCACTCCTGTTTCTCCAGGATTATGGTTGCCTAACAGGGCACCTAATTATATTGTAAGAGGAAAGGTAATGCTAAAAATTTTCTTATTGGCAATAATTTTGTGTCACTAATACATTTTATGCAAGTATGGGGTGACCCTTCAACTTCATTACAGAAGGCTTGCTTGTCTGTTTTAAACATTGTATTACTTGGATTATTGGTGCAATGATAGCTGTCTGGGATGCTGTCATGCGGGAGATAATTACAGGAATTATTCAGATAAAATATTATAAAGTCTGTGAGAAGCCTATTTTCTTAGCTGAGCATGCACTTGAAAGGCTCTAAACATGGTAAAAACTGGCGTATAAAATTGCTTTGGGGATGAATGATATAACTGTGCAGTTGACTTTATTTTAATATAGCATGCCAAATCTGAAAACCTTTGTTCAGTTAGGGATGTTGGATGACTGCTAGTTTGTACACGGGCAAGTATATGGTACCCAGTTTTAACCCAGAGGAAAAACATAATGACTGTACTGTGTTGGTGCTCGTTAAGTGAGGCCTGAGAGGTTACTGGTGTTTGACAGCCTTCTATCTTGAGTTGACCGTTTCCCAGACATGTTGAGTACATTTCTGTGCCACTGTGTTGAGAAAGATTTTTGTGCTTATTCAGATGATTGTTTAATGCATCTATATTAATGACATTTGGGATTGAGTTCAGTAAGAACTGAGTAGCTGTTACTTGATTAATAGGAGTGAGCTCTTTGAGGTTAATAAAGCAATGACCATGAATTTTCCACAGAAAGATATTTTTCTCCCCTTTGTGACAAGCAGCTTGGTAAATTTAAAAAAGAAAAAAAAAAAAAAAGGAAAAAAAGCATTTGAATTACTCCACATGTTTAAATGTCTAAATGTCAGTCATTCCATCTGAATTGCAAATATTTTAGTCAAAGAAAACCCTGAGCCTGCTCTTGAATTCATTCAATAAATAGACCTCTTTCAGATTGAGAGAATTACAGTGTAAATCCACTAACCCATGCTCCCTTCTGTGCTCAAGTTTAGTAGCAAAGCTGCAGTACACCTCTGCCATGTTAAAGTTCTCTTTCTAGAAGATACTCTGAATTTGCCCTAACAAAATGAAGGGATATAAGAAATAAAACGACATTAAAGCTATTCAAATAAATGACCTGAGTATGTTTTATAAAGCAGCTATGTTATGTATCCATTTACATTTAACACACTGAATTACTCTCACTGGGTATATGAATAATTAACTTAGATTTACTATAGTCCATCTAGAGGCAGTTGTTAAAACAGCTGCATGGAGCTGAGTGTACATATTTTTTCCCCGTTCCTGTTCTGAATTGGTTTTGGGTTGGGGTGGAGAACTAGTAAAGGATTGCGTGCAAGGCAAGGGCTGTGAAAAGCTGGTATTTTCAAATAGAAGCTGTCAAAGAGGATGTGTTTGTTTCACTGAACTTAACAGTTTATGAAAGCTGTTTTGGTGGAAATTTTAGACACTCAGAATATGTACTCACAGTAATGTTATGTTAGAACAAAAGAAGTTAGAAATTTAATTAGACTTGAGAAAAATATTGACTTGACCATCTGGCTAGACTGTATTTATTAGATTATGATTTAAATCAATGGTATGTAGAAATACACCTTTGAATAGGAAGTGATTGTCAGTGTTCATTTATTTTTTAAAGCCAGCTGTGTGAGTAGTGTGCTGATTATTTAGATCATTTCAAAGAACTGTTTGCTTATTCCACTGATAATTCTATAAAGCTTAGTGAATTTGATTAACAAGTTGTCTTCTGATTCTAGAGTTACTTTGTTAGAGCTGATAATGTCAAAAGTGAGTGAGAAGAACTCAGTTACCAGTGAAGAAACGAATGTGTTCATGAGAATTGCTGACTTCCTTGCAAGCTGTTTCCGAGATAAATGTGAAACTGTACTCAAGTTAACATCTGCAGGAGATGCAGAAGATGAGGTATGACTAATTAAAGCAAACAAGGAAACAAACACAGAATTGGAATCTGAAGCAGGTGAATCTTCATTGCCACTAGTACCTAAAATTACGGTTACTTCTTAACCACATTCACATTTTCTTTATATTAGAAAAGCAATGGTAGGGTTCACAAGAGAATATGTAAGACAGCAACCTAATTTTGCTTTTGAGGATGCTCAAGGATCTGTTATTTTGAGATAGAGACAAATCTACCACAATGTTAAAGGTCTCCAAATTTTACAAATGTTCCAGTTGTCACATGCTTGGATATTTTAGTATCATTATTTATTTACTGGGGATCACTTCTATAGTTCTAGTCTGTCAATTATATTTGTATTATATAAAATAATATATAATGATATATATATATACAAATATATATATATATCATTATATATATAAAATTATTTATATAAATATATATATTATTTATATATAAATATATAAAAATATAAATATATGAATAACTATCTGCATATATAAATAAATAATATGTATATTTATACATAGATATTCAATATATTTATATTATAAGTAATATAAATATATTACATATTCATATATATGTGTGTTTATTTACATATGTTATATATGTAAATATATATGTAAATATGTATTATGTATTATATGTAAATAAGTATTTATATATTTTATATTATTTTTATATATAATACTCTCTATATATAGTCTGTCACATTTTATTCAAAGATGTATCAGAACTTAAAACATTTATTTCATAGGTGGAAAGCAGCATCTTTTTTTTTCTTCCTTAAAATTGGGGTAAAAATTAGATAAATTCTGTTTAGCAGTACTAAAATGAGTAAATATTAGGGCTTTTTTGTTTGTTTGTTTTTGTTAAATAACTGGTGGTCATTTAATATTTAATTCATCAGTAATTTCCCAAATATTATTTTTGACAATGCATTTGGCTGCTTTTTCAGCAGGTGATTTCCAAGAACATCAAGTTCTGATCATGGAAAGCTGTTTGTGTGATTGGCTCAATACAGGGAAGCTGTCTGAAATGTGTGGTGATTCTTCATGGAAGTGAGGGCTTTAGTTATGGACTCTTCCCTGTTTCCCAATGATCTGGAGCATTTTGGTGGGCCTTGCATGCTTCTAACAAGGTGATACTCCTGGGGTCAGGTTGGGTCCACAGCATCAAGTTGCAGAGCTTGCAGGGTTCTTAGTGGCAGACAGCTGTCTCCTGAGCACGCAGACACTTGCCCCAACTCCAGTCCAGTTGGAAGAAATCTAGTATTGCTTCAGACTTAAGGAACTGGTTAGGATATCTATATCTGCTGAGGATAGCCACATTGAATTCCCTGTGCAAGCTAAATAAGAAGACTTTTATAGGTCACAAATGGCTTGTGGGCTGCATTTTGGGAGTGTCTGATGCAGAGCTGCATTCTGGATGGCCTTGTTTTATTTCTTTTTGAAGTATCCAAGAGTTGCTAGCTACTTGCCACACCATATAGTACAGTAAGGAGGTTTAGGTTATCTAAGGGTAGAAAGATCTTTTCAAATAATCTGGTGTCCTGTTATTCCCTGTACTTTCAACAAGCTGCTTGAAGACCTAGCAGTGTATTTGGGAGCACAGAAAACAACTGACATTGTAACTTGCAGTGACCTTATTTATGTTATGCTAAGTCATTGTATTCTGAGCAGGCGGTGCCAGTAATATTGGTCTCAGTTCTTGATGCCTTTCACATAGTTTTAAATCTTTTCAGCTCAACTGAGAACAAGTTGTTTTTTTTTTTAAGACAACTAGCCAGAAAACTCAAAGCCTGAGAAACCAAATACATTTCATTCAAGCATATGCTTAGTTGAACACCAATCCTTGCCAATTAATTATGCTTTGTTTCAGAAGTATAATTAATGTATTTTCTTAGTAATTCAAAAAATACATTTAAAAAAGAAGTTACAACTGGCTTTTGTCTTGACAGATGAACACTGGCATGCTGACATTGCTACCATGCATGTAGTTGGAAGCATATTATCATTAAAGGAAATTAATCTGGAATAGTTTAATTTGCAGAAACTCTTATCAACAGCTGTCATAACTGTAATTTATGATAAAAGTGAAACATATTTATCTTTCTATGCTTTTACATAATCATGTTAGTGCTGTGCTTCCTAATTTTTTCCTAGTTTAAGTAGGTGCAAGATTCTTACATGTATGTTGAGAAGTGTTATGAAGAGATACCAAAAAACACCTTAGCTGGGTGTGAAAGAAAAAGAACACAGGAATCTTTCCTTATGTGTCTAAGGAGGACAACTTCCACTTGTCCCACTCTCCCTGAAACTTAGCTGACTGCATAGTCTAAGTAAGAGGAAATATACTGAGACAATCTTTCTTTATTCTTTTTTTTTTTTTTTTTTTTTCCTTTTTAATCCTACGTGGTTGCTTTCCAAGAATTCTGTGGTTTCAGTTCTTGGAAAAAAACTTTTGTTTGTGCCTAGTAGAAGGAGGTCTCTGTCCAACTTGAAGGTGCTAGGACAGCAGTATTGACAATATTACTGTATAACTTTCCCTGCTTGACACTGACTTTTTATCCTTCTCTCATGTAAACATGACATATAAGTTGAGCACCACTATTTGGTGGGTAATGTGGGTCGTTTAATGACCACAAAGTAAGTCATAAAGAGTTGAATAAAGGGAGATAAATGTCAAGAATAACTTTTAAGAAGTGTGTGTTATTTGTATATTGTTTATGTTTATTTATTTATGACACATGCTTGCTGTGGGAAAAGAAAAAAACAAATTTATTAAAACTTTCATACTAAAAGTGATGAAAAATTGCACCGATTTCTCTTTGACTAGGTAAATATTGTAGATTTTGCCTAAGAGTTAACTTTAAAAGAAAAAAATTGTGCATGTAGGGTTTGTCATTAAAAATGCTTTAGGCAACATCTGTGATGTTAAACTAAACTCTGCCTGGATTTCACTTTGTCCCTAAAGCCAAGTGCTTTAGTCAGGCAATGTCTGTACTAGTAAGCTGTCTTGTCCTCCAAAACTAGGAGAACACATTTGAAAACTGTCTTATGGGAGTAGCCCTTGACCTGGCCCAACTCCCCAAATGTCATCTCGGTGTCCAATCCAGTTTAATTTGTTATATGTAGACTCTGCTTTTTTTTTTTTTTTTTTCTCCCCTAAGGAGCCTCAGGTCTTGTAGCTTCCATCTTAAACCAATGAAAAGCTAATCATATGCTTCTGCAGTGCTTAAACCAATGTTTAAAATAGCTTTTCCATTATAAGCCTGACTTCAACATCAGTTTGGTTTCACTAACTTTCAACTACACTTGTAAAATAAAACCCTTCCCTGGATTTTGAGTTATTTCATCTCTTTTTAAGAAACCCTTTTCTGGGTCTCTCTCAAAATATGTTTATTTAAAAACTTGTCAATCGTTTCCTTACTCTTCAGATTATATCCAAATGAAGATGTCTGTCAGACTTCAAAATACTTTGTGTTTTGTTTTTTTTTTTTTTCAATAGTATCTTGTTGCTAAGCTTGATAAGAAAGCATCCTACTTTGTTGACTTTCTTTTCTGCAGGAATAGAGGAAAAAGAAACCTGAGGGAAAAATAACCACAGAGATTTGTGGGGTGGGGAAAAAAGGAAAAGCCACACCTTAGTCATAATGTCAGCTGCTACAGAGCTTGTTTTATGTAAATGAGCAGTGGGGCACACATAGGCAGTAAGGGCTGTTGATTTATAGTTGCCTATTGATATTAGTTTGCATTATAGCTCTGAAGCGCAACTCTGCCCAGAGGGGTTGTGGAGTTTCCCTCTTCGGAGATGCTGAAAAGCCATCTGGACATGGTCCTGGGCAACCTGTGTTAGGTGGCCTTGCTTGAGTTAGGGGGGGTTGGACCAGATGACCTTTAGAGGTTCCTTCCAACCTAAACCAACTTGTGGTTCTGTGATAACTTTTTGTTGCTCAAAGGCAGGTATTAAGCATATGAGCTGAACGAGTCTTTTGGTTGAGCTGCTGTCTTGTTACAATGCAAAATGAGATGAAAAATGCAAATATTGGCTTACTTTTTCTGAAATACAGTTGGGGTATTCAGTGTTTATGCTAGTACAGTGACCAATTTATTCAAAGACTGTTTTGCTGCTGTTAAAAGCAATTTATTGAATAACTTAGGGCAAGATGGATTGTACATGTGTGTGAGGAAGAAAGTAGAAATACAGTTTTAGCATCTGGACTATACAGCCATTTGGTGTCGTTCAAAGACTGTTGGAAGGGACAAAGAATGAATACAATCTTCGTCCTTAATCACTAAACAATGGTGCCAATTATATAAATTATACTATATTGTTTATTTGGATTCAAAGTATTATACTACTGATATGTAAATGTATTTTTATCCTGGATATGAAGAAAAAAAGACACCCAGGAACCCAGGAATAGTTAATGAAACCTATGTCTGAACCTTTTTAGCGCTACTTCTAGTTTACGTACCATACCTTCCATAGAATTATCTTGCAGTCATGATGTGGTGTTTGAGTAATATGCGGTGTTCAAAATTTATGCTGTTCACTCTTAAGGTAGTTTCTGTAAGTGCTGGATTGTCATTCTAAGCACGCATCAACTCAAGCTGTGAGAAAAAATAGTTCTCTGCTTGAATAAATAATACGCAAATAAAATTGTCTCTCCTCATACCTAACCAAAATGCTGCATCTATGATCCCAGTCCTATTTACCCAAGAATAATGTAAATTCTCACAGCCAAAGTTCATTTGACCACAGAACTTCACAGAATTCCTGCGGATAACAAATTAGTGTCTTGCAGGCAGTGTTTGTGTCTTTAAAGTGGGATGGTCCTACTGAATAAACTTAAAGAAAACATTTATACAGAAATAATTTTCTCAGCTAGTAATTTTCTGCTTTTGGAAGATACCGTGTTTTTGTTTAAAAAATAAAAATAAAATAAAATAAAAAATCCCATATTGCTCCATTTTTTTTTCCCCGTGATTTTTCAGAGCATGCTTAGCACTTAATAGAAAAAGGAATTACTGCAATGTAATACGTTATTGTAGAAAGACACCCTTATTTTAGACAAATCTATTCTTGACAGTTGAGAAGACCTGCAAAGAAACTGAGGTGCTTAGAATTCCTGTCCTCTAGTAGACTGTCGTATTTTTATGTTCTTATGTGATACCTCATAAAACATTTTCAGAAATGTAGTTTTCATCTATAGGAAGCCCTGGTTACAGTTCGACTTCTTGATGTTCTTTGTGAAATGACATCAAACAATGGCCAACTAGAGCATCTACAGGCTTTGCCTGGTTTACTTGAAACAGCAATAGGTAAGTGAAAGCTGCAGAGTTAATTAGCTGTTGCCTGGCTTCAAATCGTGTTGCTCAGTAAATGAAAACATGTTTTTCACAACTGGTGGTAATTATGAATCTGACCTTTTAATAAAATAAATAAATAGCAGATTGAATTAATCTACATTTTCAAATATTTGATTTGTTCTTGGAATTTTTTTGCTGCTCTACTTGCTCTGTTGACGGCTATTACCCAACAGAGCCTTTATTCAACTCTCAGCAATACATTATTTATACAAAGAGTTGTGCAAAAGGACAACTGCTTCTTATGTTCTTCCACTGACTGAATGCATGTGGAAGAAGTTTCTCAAGAAGAAGAAAAAGGACTTTTCCATGGCTGTTCCGTTCTGTTTCCCAAATTCCTAAAATTAACTACAGTTTGAAAGTTCTTAGCCAAATTTTGTGACTTTGAAAGTTTAGTTTAAAAAAAGCTTTCTTTTGCCAAGAAACAACAAACTTAAGGTTTGTACACAAATAAAAGGAAGCCAGGATGGACCACAAAGACCCTATATACTCACATTTTGTGAGGAAAGGGGATGTGCATATGTATATGTCAGTATATTTATGTATACTGACTTGTGCCTTTCTAAATTGTAGCATTTTCTGAGGTTGATATATGGTACCATTTTCTGAATAACTAGTAAAAATTTGATGGATATTAAGAGAAATGTTAAATATTTTGCCTTAAAAATGGCTGAAACAGATATTAATTATGAATATTTTGGGATAGTCTGAGTGTCCTTGCTGTATATTAAAAAAAAAAAAAAAAGGCCAGAAAAACAACAGCAACACATCTCTATTTGATGACAGGTGTATAGCTTTGCCACTTACATTAAGATGACTGAAGTAAGGTATATTTTATGTGTGTGTGTTTTGAGGAAATGCAATATTGTGTATTGTATGCTTGTATGTGTCTTTCTATGCAAAATAATTTCAAGGAGTTGTGGATCAGTAAGTTTAGCAACCAGTTTAGGCCAGTCTTGCTGTTCTTCCACTTTTTCCTGCACTGTAGATGTGTTTCTCATTGCATTTTATCTGGACTATAATAAAACTTGATGAGTTTTATTGGATTTGTTGTGTTCATTCTTAAATCTTTTCTTCTGCTCCTCCCCCTTAAGGGAAGGTCAGAAGGTTTGGGAATACCACAGAATTCCTTATTCGTGTGTGGGAAAATAGCAAGATCATAAGGAAAAAAAGCATGCAAAGTGAGCGTGATGAGAAGTATGCAAAATAATGCTGATTTTTCTAAATTTAAAAAAAGCAAGTAAATTTCCATGAAAGAAGATTGAGTTATCAGCTACTTTCCAATGACATTATTTAGGGGCTACTACTCTTTGATTGCTTCATTCTTTCCAAGGGTCAGGAGATTTTGGTTTTCCTAGTTCAAAAATTAGAACAAATATAAGTGACAACTCTCATATGGGAGGCCACTAGGCCCTATTACAGCTTTATATTTAAAAATACCAAAGACTTAGTTAACTCCAGATCAGCACAGAGATTCATTCACAAATGGCTGACCTAGAAGAAAAAAAAAATCCTCTGAGGACTTAGAAAGTTTCTTCTAATTTAAGTCCAGGAAATCTAGTGTACATTCTGCTATGGATATTGTCACATTTGGAGAAGAAAGAACATAGGGTTTAATTACTAAATTGATCAGTGATATAACCTGTTTTTGCTACATTTTTATTGTTCCAATGAAGTTGCCTGAAGCATCAATTTGTCGTTCAGTTGCCTGAGGGACAGTGGCACATTGGGCCACCTGTCAGTATTGCAGGTTGCTTTAAAGGAAAAGTACTTCTTAATTTTTAAATATTGGTACACCCTTTAGTGAATTCACTTCTCAGATGTATGAATTCTCAGATGTTCATATTTCAATTTTTCTTCGTGGTCTGGTCTTTGTAGAATGTTGTTTTCACAGATTATAAAATGTACTATATGAGTTTCCCTTCTTCCTCTGACCATCTCAGGAAAAAAAATAAAATCCTAGTTGCTCTACATACATATAAATCACTATTTCCCAGTTGACACAATTATGACGGTCAGTGTTTTATCATGATGCATCAAGATGCTAAATGCAAATCCTTTCTTATCCTACAGAACTGGAACAGGCTGGAGAAGAAAGAAAAATGTAATTCTATAAGTTTTGTTGATGTGTGTTTGAACTAAAACAAGTTTTTCTAGAAAATGTCTTTTTTAAACTAAGAAGCAGATTGCATTTATGATGCCACAATTATCAACAGCCCACAAGTTGTGACTGTGCAAATAAAGATGGTTGACATAAAGATGTGTAACATATGTAAGTGTGTGAAAAGGATTACAGAATACCTTCTGACCTTGGGGACGGCCTTGTATGGTATATACTGACAGAAATTAAGAAATAGAAATTAAGGAAACTTGTGAAGTCCTTTTGATATATTCCTAAATATATGAAATTATGTTGACTTCCTTGAAAGAAACAATTAAGAAATGGTAGTAAAGTTCTTTGCAAAGTAATACTAGTTTTCATTTGGTAATGAAATAAGATGTTCTTGTTTTCTGTAGATACCCTGAGATTAACTCATCTTGCTGGGAAACAGGCTGTAAATATTTTCACTGCTACACATGCAATGACAGGGCAAGAGGAAATTTCACATCCAGCTGTGGGTTTTAAATCTCATCTCATTCGTTTGATTGGAAATTTGTGTTACAAAAGTAAGGAAAACCAAGACAAGGTAAGTTTATGCTTTTTTTCTCACAAAACCCTCACATGTGAACAGATGCCTACATTAACCCATGACTTTAATTACTGATTAAAATATATTGTTGTTCTATAAATAGAGGTTAAAACTGGGTTTATAAAAGAGGTGATTTTTTTTGGAGTGTACTTGAAGTACTGTCATAGGTATGTTAACTTTTTAATAGCGGTATAATGTGTGCCTGTCTACACTTTGCATCAGTCCTGTAGACTGCAAGTCAGTGCCTGATTTCTTAATTGTTTTCATATTTGCATGTTGTTTAAAATGTCTGAGACTAAACTTCAACATCACTTTGAAGGAAAATAGGTGGCAATTATTGCACAAACTTAATTTTAATCTTTAAATTAGTCCCTGTTGATTTTTTATTTCCCTTTAATTTTTCATGCCCTTTAAAAAATGTAGGTCTGCTTCCTTCAAATCACTTTGATCCCTTTATCTTTGGAATTTCTTTATGGAAAATCGATTTTGCTTTCCGGTGAGGAAAAAAAGGGGAACAGCAGAATGTTTTTAACTATGAAACTTTCCTCCAAGATTTTGTAAACTAACTTAAGTGCTCAGATGAACCATAAGACAACATTTATAATTACTGCATTTCCTGCTGAAATTAAGAAAATCAAACAGGTTGCAGTGTACAGGGAAATATGTAGACAGTTGTTTTATTATTTTATTAATTTGAATCAAAATTTTCACCTGCTCTCAAAGAAGCAGTTTTTAGGGTAAAAGATGAAAAGCATACAAGAGTGTATCAAAGAATGAGTAGAGAAGATAATGGAGTACCTTTACTTCCCTCTTATGGTGCTTAAATGAGGCCCATGTCAGCAAGTACTAAAAATACAATAACTAATACTAGTTACTGTGCAGGAAATTGCATACGATGAGATACTGAGTCTAATTCTGTGTTACCAAGGAGTTATCAAGATAGTGAGTACTGAAAAATCAATCTGCTAGAAGCTTGTTTCATAAATATATTCTTTGTGATTTCTTCATTTTACAAATATGATACTTTCTTTTGTACTGATGTGATCAAATCTGTTTTCAACTGCTGCAGTGTCTACCAAGGTAGATATTTATAATCAGCAGTAGGGCGTTTTCATAGTGTATGACAGACAGCTCCAGTTTAGTCTTTTTATTTTTTCCTAGAGGATGGAAGGATGGAAAATCTGATAAATGCTAGCCTGTTCCATGTTCCACATGTGGTAATAATACAGGCATATGGATGAGAAATATGGTAATGATGATCCCTTTTCCCATTCGTGTTTCCATATAGAATGAAGAATTTGAATACTTCTGAAAAATTATTAATCCTGTTATATGCTCTTCTTTAGCTCTCTGTCTGACCCCTTATGATGTAATAGGTATTTAAGTAAATTAAATGTGGTTTTATGGAATACCTTATGATATTGGGGGTGGGAGGTGGAGCTTGGTTTCATTTTGAAAGTGTTGATTCTACTGCTTATGTTCATTTTTGCTGGCATTTTCAAAGGCCCCTGGAGCGATTAGGCATGCAGACAGTGATTTCAGTGGAAGCTGGATATTAACTTGTCTTAAATTGCTTGCAAATATTATTGCTTTATGCTGTCATGAAAATTACTTAGATTCTTCTGTGTGATATTGTGGAATGCTATCATGGAATGTTATTTGAGTGTTGTTGAAACTTTAGAAATGCCAACAGTATGATAACACATGTATACCTTCAGTATATCTCATGCATTTTAAATTTCTTATAATAAATGCACTTGTCATTTTTAAGGCAGTGTCCATACATAAACACATGCTTGTGAAGATGAGGCAAATAGCCCCCATCTCATTGCAGAACTAAGAAAACTGCAGTTTTGAGACATGAATGAATATTTCAAAGTGATGCATTTGTCATACCTAGAACTGAACGGAAATAAGTTGGTTACCGAGTTCCTAAGTCTCTCTTCAGACTCCCTCTTCAGAATAATATCTCACACTGTAGGTCTTATTTTTATATACAGTACTGCATCTACAGAGCAAAAATAAGATAAAATGCAAGGTAGGTTGTGTTTTATATAACAAACCAAGTATCTTATCAATGTGGCTGAGACCTCGGGCTATAACATTGGCTGTTGCTTTTGCATGACTTACTGTGGCACAAGATGGGAAGTGACTTCCCCTTCAGTCAGTTTTGCTGTTTGCCTGGCATGAGACGATGACATGTGGCTTATGAAAACCTGTTAATATCCTAACTCTCTTTAATGAGCTGAGGCTTTCACGCTTGTTTTCTCTAATATTTCTCTGTAACTTTCAGTCCCCGTAGACCTCTTTTCCTAGTAACAATAATAAAGCATTAATACATGCAGTAATCACACACCTAATAATAAAAGCACTAATATAATAGGAGCTATATGCATTTTAAACAGTGTAACCTTAGTGATCCATGCATGACATCGGCCTGCCTAACTTGTTCTGAAAAAATAAGTAGCTCCCGATGACTCTGGGCTCAAATGGTGGGTTGGACTAAGCCGTCTGAGTGGACAGAGTTGCATTACTGTTTCTGGGGCATCTTTAAGAGCCAAGTGATAACCTGCATGTTGTCCAGGAAGTGGGTCTTGAGCCAGCCTACAACTCATGCAGTCTGTGTCCTGAAGCATGACAGTGCAGTTGTACTGCATGGAGAAGTAGTTACAGTTCTGTTGCTTTAAAACAGAGAGTGCCAGTAGTGGGGGGTTAATTACTCTGCAAATGCTTCTTCTCTGTCTCCATCTGTTGTCTCCACCTGCTGTAAGAACAGTAGTTGCAGGGTCTTAGTGTTCTGTTCTGGCAGTGGTGAAAAATCTTGTAATACTTTGGAACAGCAAAATTCCTTACCGGTGCTTTATTACTTGTTCATTTTGTTTTTAAAAGTTCTTTGTTTTTATAATGCATTCTTTATCTTCTACTCTGTTAGAATTAGGAATGCATTCCGTACAACTTTCTTCCTCATAGTTTTACTTACGCTATTGTGACAAGTTCTGAAGATATAAGGGAGTGGACAGAAATTCAAGCTATAAACTGAGATGCAGTTATTAAAATTGGTCTTGCCAAGCTTACTGCCCACTTCCATGTTTTGTTAGGCTGGATGGATTGATATTTGTAATAAAAGTGTTTGATAACATGTTCAGTTTGGACTGATAGAAGTTGGGTACATGCTGGCAGCAGTACATTCTGGCATCTCTAACATGCCTTACAGAAAAAAGGATTGTCATTGCATGGTTTTTACTGAGTGCTGTCATAATTAAGAATAAGCAACCAGTAGTACTTGAGGTAACTCTTCATAAGGTAGGATTATTTCCTTTGTTTCTTTTACTGAACAGTCCTGAATTGCAGATGTATTTCCAGGAAGAGGAGAGAAGAACAAATAAAATGGTTGTATGCAAGATACCAATTGTTGAGCTAATTGGATGTTGAACTTGCAAAAATCCTCCACTGGGTGTGCAGTTCTGTGCTTTCTGTTCTTCGCTGTAGGAGGAAAAGCTGTCCAGTTATTGTCATACATGTGGGTGTGGTGGTTTTTACTTGGGTGGGCAGCCGAGCTCCACCACAACCGCTCTCTCACTCTCCCTCCTCAAAGAGGAACGGGGAGAAAATACGATGAAAAGGGCTCAAGGGTTGAGATAAGGACAGGAAGATCATGCAGTAATTATTGTAACGGGCAAAACAGACTCAGCATAGGGAGATAGTAAGATTTATTGCTCATTACTAACAAGCTAGAGAAGTGAAAAACAAAGGAAAGAAACTAAAAGCACCTTCCTCCCCATCCACCCTCTGGGGGTTATGGTTAGTCTATAGTGCTTCTTCTCTGCCGCTCCTTCTTGGTCTCTCTCGTCCCCTGTGCTGTGAGGTCCCTCCCACAGGATGCAGTCCTTGCTGAACTGATCAGGTGCAGGCTGCCTACAGGCAGCAGCTCTTCAAGAACTGCTCCAGATATGTGTCCGTACCATGGGGTCCATCCCTCAGGAGCAAACTGCTCCAACCTGGATCCCCCACAGGGGGGATCCTGGCTCCTGCCAGGTCACCTGCTCCTGAATGGTCTCCTCTCAGGCCTGGAATCTGCTCCTGCGGGGGCTCTCCATGGGCTGCAGCCTCCTCCAGGCAACATCCACCTGCTCCACTGGAGGCTCCTCCACAGGCTACAGCATGGAACCCTGCTCCACCGTGGTACTCCATGGGCCGCAGGGGGACAGCCTGCTCCACCATGGTCCACACCACAGGCCACAGGGGACTTCTGCTCTGGCGCCTGGAGCACCTCTCCCCCTTCTTATTCACCAACCTTGGTGCCTGCAAGGCTGTTTCTCACTCCTCTCACTCTCCCAGCTGCTGTGTAGAGCAGCATTTTTTTCCCCTTTCTTAAATATGCTCTCACAGAGTCGCAAAACAACATCATTTATTGGCTCAGCTCTGGTCAGCAGGATTACTGGGGCAGTCCTGTAGCTTGTGATTTGTGCTTCTTTCACAAAGATGCATTTAATCAAATATACAGGAAGGAAGGAGGTGAACTCCCAGGCTGACCAAGGAGTGGGGTTTTGGCTGGTGGTTGATGAATGAAGTTGTCAAAAGGAAAAGTGAAAATTCCACCAAAATCATCTCACCTTGTTTGCTTTGCCTTCTGAACACCTCAGTGTTGCCATGTGGACATAATCTATGCTGTTTACCTGGGGGTATGTCTTAGGCATTGATTTTCAGATGACTAATTTTGTTCCCTATTGTGACACTGCTCTGAACAACCTTATTAACTTTCCCTAAAGTGTTGTTTATATTGTTAGATGTTTATGCAGTGTGACTTGTTTAAAATAACAGGTTTCATTTAGTAGTAAATGTCATCAGTACTGGAATAATCAACAGAATAATGTAGACATTACTCTGCCTTGTTTCCTTCCTTCTCCCTCTTCTCTCCTCCCTCCTCCTTTTATAAAAAGAGAGGAATTGCCTAGACTTAAATCACATAACCTTGCTGGAGTTAGTAAATAGGAAAC